CGGATCAACGGTTGAGATCAAAAACGTCGTCGGATCCGCCCCCTTGAGGCGAACGCATGAAGACGAGGCGTCGTCTTAATTGACAAGTGTGAGAACTTCCCCCACGGACACGTGGCTTGCCCTCATGAGCCCAAATTTCGTATGGGGTGCCCTAACTCGAACGACATCAATCTCGCCTGGGTGCACTCGCACCGCTCGAATTTGCCCAAAGGTCTCGACCTAGCCAAGGGAGTCAAATTCGCCTTAACTCATCAGGAATATCTTTATTCAAAGTATTCCAGACCACACGCAAGTTGGTTTAGGTCTGAAAACTTTAAAGAGGGTCTTGTAGGCGGTAAAAATTACCTTTGTAGATAAGCCTGAAATCCGCCTGTGTATTCGAGTCGCCTGCGCAACGTGAAAATTAGGCTCACCCGTGTGCTTAACTCGCCAGCACGAGCCGAGACCACACAATCACCAAATTCGCCTGTGCATCTGGCGATCTGCCAGGTGATCAGAAACTCGCATGCATTCTTGACTCGCCCACACGAGTTAAGTTTGCTCAAGAGCTGAACTCACCTGCATGCCCAGACGATCAGCTAGGCGATCAACATTCTAACCACAGACTCACCAGGGTACTAGGCAGCTGCTATATCACGTACAGGGATGGGCCTTCCCATCTCCCACGACGTGAAGGGAAGGGGTGTGGTACTCCAAACCCATCAAGTAGCCGTCTACAGTACGAATGACCAGTCAAATCCACGCAATCACCAAACTCACCTGCATGCTTGACTCGCCCGCACGAGTCAAGATAATCCAAGTGACTAAAATTCGCCTGCTTACTTGACTCTCTTGCACGAGTCGAGTTCGCCCTAGTGACTGAGACCTATCGGAACATTCAAGTGACCAGCCAGACGATCTGCAAATTTGCCAGACTCATCAGAGTACCTGACGACCGTAATATCACGTACGAGGATGGGCCTTCCCATTCCTCACGGCGTGAAGGGAAGGAGTACAGTGCTCCGAGCCAATCAAGCAGCCGCTCATGGTACAAGTGAGAAGCATGGTGTCTCCCAACAGTACATGGTCACATCCCATAATTCAAGGGAGCGACCACGCCATCTCTCCTCTGTTTAAGAGTCTCTCCTAGCTACAGGAAAGGGGTTCACAGTTAATTGATTAATACAATTAGTTAGTTGGACCATTAGCTCTCAACTCTCGACTGAGTTGACGACAGACTCTCTGCATGATCTTTGCACTGTAGCACCTTCTCCTAGCTTCGGGCCCTAATCGTCATCGAACTCGGAGACTCGAACTCAACTGACATGAGCTTCTATTATTCACTGCAGCTCCCCAACAATCTTGATCGAATCGTCCAAGGGAAGCAGACTCGGTGCGAGAACCGAGCGAGGCGTCCTATCGCTACCAAAGTCCCCACGTTAAACAAGGAGGACATTCTTTTCCTCTTCTGTTGTAATTTTGATTTATTAGTTTGTAATAAGCTATTCTTATTAATACAAACAAAACCCCCGTTTCGGGAAATCAAAATTTACACCTACAACGCTAAAATACTCCTAACAAATCCAAATGTATCAAGTATATTCAGTTACAAATAGACTTTAAGCAGAAAAACTAATAAACTATCACATACAATCTAAAAGTCTGTCCCTCCCCCGTTGTCTCCTCTTCGTACCCGCTCAGCGTCGGCGTCTTCCTTCGACTTGAGCTTGTACGTGCTCGTTCTCTAGTTGCATGTGAGGCTGTGACGGACTAGCTTTATTGTCGTGTGAGCAAGTTCCACCTCTTCTTCATCGACGTACATATACTCTCCTCACGTGCCATCTACTCACGACCATCATGCTAATCCTCATGAGTTTAATGAAGAGCTCTATGAATCATCCGCACTATCTGCTGTAATACCGATACATGTACTGAATCTCCTCTGGCGATAGCTATGCCCTCATTTGTAATCCCCTCTATCTCATCCATAGCGTCTATCTGCAATTACGTCAAAAGATACATATATAAGCAACCGAAAGCTAATAAGGGATTAAAAACTATTACGTAATTTACTTACCCATTCTCGATCATCTGCACCCCTTGGTACGTATCTTGCTTGTTGGGCACGTATCTCGAGTTCGTCGACTGGAGGTGTAGTTTGAGTGATTATCCATCTTCTGGTAGTCCCCCAATACCATCTTATATAATCTGTTCCTCCATCAGAGGATAAAGCTGCTCGACGATACTCAATGCCGCTCATTCCATCTCTCAATGTACTGATTATGTACAAGTGCCCAGTCAATTTGATGCCCACCCTTGGACTCCTTTCTCTCTATTTTTTCTACTTCCTGCGGAGCATGCTGTGTGAAACCAAACTGCCTAAACAGACGATCTGACACATGCATCTCCATAATTTCAAAGCAAATCAGAGGAACTCTGGCTCTCCATTAACTGTGCCCCTCCATGCAAATCAGTGGTAGACGAGGTAGATAAGTTCTGTATGGCTGCCACTCGAACTGCAAAATATTCCTTATATTAGTAACTCTTTGAAACATATTGATAGCTTAAATTGACTTAAATTAAAATTTGATACCTAAAAAATTAGGTTGAGCTTTCCTCTGTAAAAATTTGTCTTGCTGGGACCTCATCGTAGCATTTTTGGACGCTCCATTTGCGTGAATGATAAAATGTTAGCTTCTAATACCATAATTAAATTTCAAAATTAAATTTACTTTAATTAGATCCAAAATTACTTGCCTACAGCCAAGTGGAATTTGTCCATCTAAAACTCCCATCTCGCGTAATCTTTTGTACTGAGCGAGATTGTCCCACTTGTCTTTTGTATTGAGGTGGTAATAGACGTGGTCAATTATAAGCATGTCAATAACGACTATCATCAGAAGTATGAAAACTCTTATTATAAGTCTTTCAGTAATGACTCATTGAATACCAAGCCGACCAATATTTCGTATTCGATACAAGAATTTTTCCTCTTAATTGCTTTAAGATATAGCGGAAGTAATTCGTAAAATTTCTCCCAATCTCGAAAGATTTTAATCAACACTTCCTCCATGCATCATATGTTTTATATTTAGATATAATTTCTCCCAATCTCGAAAGATTTTAATCAACACTTCCTCCATGCATCATATGTTTTATATTTAGATATAATTATTTTTCTCATATTGTATACCCAATCAACACTTCCTCCATGCATCATATGTTTTATATTTAGATATAATTATTTTTCTCATATTGTATACCCCTGTAGTTATCTGACTTGGAGTAAGATCAAGTTCTCGCCTTACTTTAGGCATAATTAGCTTTAAAATATGAGAGGAAGTTGCTGATTTATGATCGACACTGACAGTTAGATTGTAACATGTATAAAGTCCGCAATAACTAGAGATCATAAATTGCTCATTAGATTTTTTCCTAATAGCCGCGCTAAGCTTCCATGGACACTTTAAATTTCTTTCATCTTGAGCACTTGCATACTCTTCTTGAGCTTTCTCGTTGAAGTAGCACTTTACATGGTAGTTGGTTGTATTAGTTTTCACGAGCTTAAATTTGATCTGATTCTTGATTGACCATTTATGTATAGTGAAAACCAAAGTTTCCTTATTATCGAATAGATCTCCTTTTTTAAAAGTGAAGTCCTCGGGTTGTTTGAAATAAGAACAATGCTCAATGAACTCAGCTTTGGAGGTATATATCCTCTCCTCATGTTGAAGCTTTTCTGGCATAGTTCTTCAGACTCCACATAATCATTGTTCACACAAAATTCATTCATCCAACGGGTGTCCTCCTCGATTCCTCCAATTGCACACCGCATGCTATCAAGACGTTCCTCCTCTTCAGCATCTTCATAATCACCATCTGCATCTACATCCTCATCCTCTTCTACAATAGAACCACCTAGTAAATTATCCATAACATGACTCGAAGCATTGTGGAACATATCACTTGACATTGCACATTGGGAAGGTTGAGTCAATGTCATTGCACCCAAGTCATTTTCTAAGTGCACGACACTTGGAGATGAAATAAATTTGCTCAAGTTATTTTCTAAGTGAAGCATGTGGGAGAACTCTCCAGGAGCATATGAAACTTGGGCAACACCAGATATTAGAATATTTTCAATGAACAACTCGATTGAGATTTGGTTTTCCGCAAGTTGTATCATGTCACTCATTTGTTGATCATTGGTGATCTCTACAACAATTGTTCTTTTTTCATTTATCGGACAATTACAGAAAACCTTAGTGGCATATCCTGCATGATTAATTCTAATAACTCTGTATATTTGATCCATCATTCCATCGAAGTTGCAATTTCTATATAATATGAAAAATTTTCTAGAGCATATTATTTATTCCAACACTCAGTTTTGCATTGAATAAGCAAATAACTACTGTTCCATTCGCCATAAAATTTGAACTATTAACATTCATCATATACAAATTATCTATATTATTCAAAAATTAAATTTTATATATCTTATTTCTAGTTAAATCGTATTTGAAAGACCCTCTATATTAATTTTAATCTATCAAAATTTAACCAAATCCTATTTTTTTTTAAAATTGGCAAATAAATTATTCTAAATATACACTTTATTCCAAATTACAATTTTAACTAAATAATAGAGAGAACATTATAAAAATGTTGATATTATCCCTTTGATAAATATTTGAAATTCGTTGTTGTAGGAGAGGCTAGATGGCGTCGTAGTTTAACAGTGCCGGAGTGAACTTTTGGGAAGATCTCAATTTTGGGTTTGAAGAGAATAAGAGAGAAAATTGAGGGAGAAAGAGGTGATTTGGGAGAGAATCAATGGAATGGGGAGAGAGAGAGAGAGAGAGAGAGAGAGAGAGAGAGAGAGAGAGAGAGAGAGAGAGGGTTGAGAAATTGGAGAAATTGGAGAGATAGAGAGAGGTGGTTGTGCTCTAAATTTTGGGCATAACTAGGGCTTTTATAGGCTTGAAAAATCTGGGCAGTGCCTAGGAAGTATCTATTAAACCCACGGGACTAGTAGTCCCGTGAGTTTGCTGGACAGTCCTCAGGAAGTATATGTTTAACTCACGGAACTAGTAGTCCCGTGGGTTTTGAAATAGTGACCAGAAAACCCATGGGATACAAAACTCACATGAAGTATCTGTTTAACCCACGCGACTAGTGGTCCCGTGGGTTTTGGGGTGTATAAGCAAAATCTAGATTTGGGGAAAATTTGCTACTAGGGTAGATTTGAGGGGTCTATGGGTGAAAAACCCATTTGAGATTATGCGTTTGATTGCTGAAAGAGGGCATATTATTATTATTATTGATAATAGACTCTTGGCTCGGGAAGGGATAAATGCGGAGCAGTTGGCTCGGGATCTCAAGTCTTTTGAGCTGAAGGTGAGCGTCTCTTTGGATGATTTAGATGTGCAAATACTGTAAATTGTGTGCTTCTTATTGTTTTTTTCCCTTTCCTGTAGACCACTTTTGAGGATGTGTTTCCTTCAGAGGCAACGACTGTGGAAGAGTATTTGCAGCAGGTATATTTCACTTGGACACTGTTGTTTTAATGTGGTTTAGAGAAGAAAATGACTTCTGATGAACTGACTTGTGAGGGCAATAACTACTTATCCATCTTTTTTGTATTTAGAGAAGAAAATGACTTCTGATGAACTGACTTGTGAGGGCAATAACTACTTATCCATCTTTTTTGTATTTGTGTGTTGGTTGGTGGCAAACCCTTGTATTTCATTAATAAGAATTTAATGAAACAACCAAAAAATATAGAAGTACATACAACCATAATCAAAGATAGACACAATTACATAAGATAATACTACAAAACACATGACCTAACTACAGGAGCTATGGAAACACAAAAAATTCCATGCTTCCCTCAATCAGACACTTGTCCTTTCTCATGATGTTGCATCCTCCCTCTGATACCCATTCTTCCCTTAACCTTCACAGTAGAATAGTCTAAGAAGTCGTGATCCTCGTCCTGGTGCTGAAGCAAGTTGTTCACTGTCACTGCGTGCTCCTACTAGATGGGAACACCATAGTCTAACATTGGTAATGAAAACATAGTAAATCTTAGAGCTACTAGATGTCAATTTATTGAAAAATAGATGTAACCAATATGAAGTTGTACCCGTACCCGACACGTATCAGTACCAGTACTGAAACTCCTTGGACACTCCTTGCATATATGTGTGCATTTATTTGGGCATGTAGTCAATTATGCAATACATATTTTCATTTAAAATACTTTTCATACATTTTTTATCATATATCCTATACTTCACACCCACTTCTTGAAACTTCTTGAACTTAGGTTAGGTTCCGAATTATGATTTTGAAGGCTTGTTTGGATGTCTAATTTAACACTAGTGATTTTTCAATTTACAATTCACCTAATAAAAGAAATATAAAAATGTTATAGGAATTTTAATTATCATCGTTGGTTCTCATATAAATTATTAGTTCTGATATATAACATATGTGTATATAAATATTTATATATTCGTGACCCGTACTGTACCTTCTACAAAATTTCCATGTCCAGTACAGGTACCAATACCCGTACCCATGCAATATAGTTGAAAATCCTACTGGACAATAGAATCTACATAACAAACTTTTAAGGGTGAGATGCGAGTTTAGGACTATTTTAGAAATTTATCATTAGCCTAAGAAGGAGCTCACATCTAGCCTTAATTTTCAGGGACATGTTCAGTAGTAACATATAATTACCATTTTAAGCTATCATCTTCCACAATAAAACAAGCTTGTATGGAGATCTGACTTATAAGGGTGAGATGGGAGTTTTGGACTATTTCAGAAAACTACTATTAGCCTATAAAGGACCTGACACCTAACATTAATAGTGAGGGGCGTGTTTAATAGTAAAATAATATGCAGTTACCATTTTAAGTTATCAGCTATCACAATAAAACAAGCTATAAATTTATGGAGATATGGAGATAGGGGTACAATGAAATATAAACCATCATGAAGGTTAAATGGGTGGTTCTCATCTTCATGTTCTACAAAGCTAGGAATGCATATACATTTGGAATATCAGTTCCTTATTCTCGTCAATGCACAACCTCTGTATTTACAGAATGCTACATTGGCCACTCTTGAAGTCCCTCCAACTATACCAAAACTTTGAAGTTATGGTGAGAGTTGAGGTTACAGTTTTATATTCTAACACGCCTCCGCAGGTTGAGCACCTTTTTTTTATGGCCTAAAACCTTAAGTCATGCAACGGTAACAATTATTTAAAAATCCGTATTAAGTTTGTGGCCAACAAGATTTGAACCTTAGTTGCTCTGATACCACCTTGGAGTCCTTGCCACTACACCAAAACTATGAACTTTCCAAAGTTATGGTGAGAGTTGAGGGTTATAGTTTTATATGCTAACAGCCGCGATCTATATATTTATGGTTGTATTTCAGTATCATATGATGTGATTTGATGTCTTAAGTATGACACAGCAACCTGGTGAGTGCTTTATTCTTTGTTATATAAAAGGCAAGCAGTAAGCTGACAGTTCCCTTGGTTAAGCTTATGTTCCCTGGTCTCATAGTCTTTTTCTGCAATAAAATGAAAAACTAATCAAATCATGTTGCTTAAGCTGATAGGTTATGCATTATCACTATCAATTGTTGTACCTTAGTTCTTAAAGGATAAGCAATATCATAGGCATGTCAAGTGTAATTCATTAAAAAATTGCATCTTTTTCACCTGTTTTATCTTTATGTTAATAGAGTGCTTTGGTTCCATCTATTCTTACTTTTGAATCTGCATTGATGTTGATTGTTTATATGGGTAAATAGCAAATATGTGATGTATGAACTAGACAGTTTTACTTTTCTTCTCAGTGAGTTTATGTCTGCAGGTTCATGAAATGGCTATGGTATCATCAATTCAGGAAGCTCAAAAGGATAACTTGCGAAGCTTTAATGAATATATGATGCAAGTCTTAGAGGTTAGATTTTGCTTTGGTGAAATATTGTTTTTTCAGGTTGGCATTGACTTTTTTGTGTTCCTATGGACTGTTGCTTTTGTGAATTTTATTGTTAAATTAACTCACGTTCTTTCTTGATTATTTATTTTAATAGGAGTTAATTTGATCTATTAATTTTGTCTTTACTGGACTACATGACCAGTTGATGTGCTAAGACAATGCTTTTGATTCATTATTATGATCTCCTGACATGTTTGCTATGGGAACTTGTGGAGTTACGAAATTAATAATTGCAACTGCCGGTTATTGAAATTTGATGCTAATAAATGTATACACCTACATTTACAACTACTACATGCATACATAACACGAAAATGCAAGCCTCAAATATTTTATAATGATGATAAATACTGCATAAAATGCTGTCCTGAAGCATTGCTTCTCATTTTTTACCACAACGCAACGGACACAAATGGCTTTAAGATTGAGCTTTTCACTTTATGCCTTCACTTTTTCTGACATTGCAACTTCCAGATCCTTACTGTAATTCCTCTCCTTTAGCACTCAAATTGTTTGTCATTTATGCTTCACTTGCTTGGGGGGTTAAGCTCTTTTCTTTGTCCTTTCACTTTTACGAACATTGCAAATGACATATCTTCTTTTACTGCCTTAATACCTCCTTGCTTGGGTCTAACCTGGTCATAGTAGCTACTTCAACTACACTATCATCCTTTTATCTTGTGTACTCAACAATGCCTCAAAGTCATGTATAACTGGAGAACGGACTTCTATACTTCCTATCTTAGATTTTCATAGAGTGCCGCTCCATCGTTCATGTTTAGATACAATGAAGATAAACGACCATTCACAATAATCAGTCATGAATATAGGCTGAACTTGAAAATAGTTTCACATCCTGTTAATTCGTGTCTACATCTATGAGTAACCAAATATTATCAGAGCTTTTCTTTTTGATATTTGGATTTAACAACTATACACGGTAGCCAAAAGTTAGCAGAGCTTTTCTTTTTGATGTAGGCATTTAACAATTATACACACTTGACTATTGGCAATAGGTGAATTATGTGGTTTTAGTGGATGATAATCCAACTACAATCTTTCATGTTGAAGACAATTATTTCATGTGTACTGTAGGTTGTCTTATTCATTGGCATCTGTGACTTTTGCTTTTGTATGTGTCTCTATGTGTAATGTATTTATGCTTTGCTTAGGGAACATGTAAAAAGAAGAGGTGAAGAGCAAAAGAAGGGGTAAAGCTCTTCACATGGGATGTTGTATATTTATAAATTGGTATGAAGGAGTTTAACCTTTTGCAGTTTGCAATTTTAGAATAACCAAAAATATCTCATAGAATTAAAGTAATGTCCATTAGAAAAGGAAACAACAAGAGATTGCCAAACTACCTGATGATTACTGTATGCAATATAACAAGACAATCTAGGAGAAACTACCCAAAAAAAAATCTGAAGATGGCATGGTGTCCATGTCAACAAGGGTTCATCGAAGAAAAAGTAGTAAATGAAGTATAATCAAAATAGTCAATAAATTTCTTTCATACTGTTGGTTTACTTTTTTCTGTTTAACTCTCTTAACCTCATGGTCAAAGCAACTAAGTAATGGCTCCCAATTTCATCCATACAAAAAATTGAACGCATTTCATATTTGTCAAACACATGGTTGTTTTTTTTTAACGTTTCTATAAGTAATCTTCTCTGAACATCAGAAAATGGGTTTGAGGAAGTATAATATTTTTTCTGAAGATCGCGTATGGCATATAGCATATTATGTTTGTATATTGTTTTTGTCTATATTGTATAACTGTGGTCTTAAAGTACTGTGATCCAACTGGTGGGGGTTAGTTACGTTAGTTGCAGCCAATGCTACTGTTGCTTCATTAAATTATACAACACAATCATCCATTTTACTTTTTATGGTTCAAAGGTGAAATATTTTCTTGTTTGTCGATTCTTACTCATGAAAGTTACTTGACGGGAATAACTTGTTTAGTGAGATCTAGAGTGTGTTGTGATACGTCTTCGTCTTGTCAGTGATTTTCTAATTTACCTAAGGCACAATTTTGGTTGGGGATATTCATGAATGATGTGAAGTTATAGTCACATACATTTACTTGGAGAGCATGTTCGAGGGAGTGTTTTTTTTTTCTTTTTCTTTTTCTCTTTTTTGATTGTCCTTCTGTTGATATAGTATTTGCAACTTGCAAGTGCTTTCTTATTTACTTCAGGAACTTTTTTTGATTGTCCTTCTGTTGATATAGTATTTGCAACTTGCAAGTGCTTTCTTATTTACTTCAGGAACTGTTTATGAAGTATGAAATGATTGTATAGTATTTGCAACTTGCAAGTGCTTTCTTATTTACTTCAGGAACTGTTTATGAAGTATGAAATGATTGTAGTAGATTGGGTTATGTAATTGTTTTTGAGGTGGATCATTTTCAGTCCTAACGGTATACTTTGGATATAATACCTGGTTTACTATGTAACTCGTGTTATTCTTGATACCAGGAATAAAGTTGGTTTTGGTAGTTAGATGATCACATCTTTGTCTGGTTCGGGCTATGATTAATTTGGATGGAAAGTGACACCTTTTCTCTTTCAACTTTACGAGTTCTAGATGAGAGGCTGAGATGTGGTCACCTCAATATCAAGAACCAACTTTGCGTACGGTAACAAGGATACCTCTGACGCATGCACACAAGCATGCATTGAAGGTTGACCGTCTGAGCCATGAATGAGAAATGGTCACCTCACACCCAAGCAATTTTGTATTTCTTGGTTTCCTTTCGTCAATATCCTGTAGTGCTTATAACCATTCTTTTTTCTCCTATCTACTTGCAGATTGCAAACTTTGTAGCAAACAACATGACTAGGAGTTGGCCCCATGATCTTTATGAGAAAGTTGCCAGAAGCATATGACGCTATGTATGGTGAAGAAAGAAGGGAAAAACATCATTCATTCAGTATTTATGCAGAATCATGATAACCTTGTCGGTGGCTATTCATCTCTAAGAAAAGCTGACTGCATGTCTTCAGGAGCATTTTGGAGGTAAAAAATAAAAAAATAAAATCTAAAATTTATCATCTATCGCGAACTTTAGACAGAAGCAGCCCGGTACTGAGCTTCATGCCCAACAGGTGGCTATCACTATTGTGGTTGCACCTTTTTTCTTGTGAACTTTTATAGAAGTCTACAACTCATCTAATCAATGTAAAGATGGATTGTTTCTATTTCCTGTCTAAATTTTCATCAGTTTAACTGAATTTTCAATCCTTTGAAAGTGTTCAAAATTTACTCTATACCTTGTATTGAAGAGAACATTTCGAGGAATTACTGTCATGTTTTCTTATTGACGTCTTCCTAATCCTGACAGTCTGTGGATAATTGATGCTTACTTAATGATAGAATAAAATGTACAATTGTCTTCTCTTTGGATGTGGAGTGATTTTCCTACATGAGCTCAAATCGATCTCAGAATTTGCCCCCAAATTTCTATAGAGAACCCTATGGAATATTATACAGCAAGGAATTGTGACATGTGTTTCAATAAAGATTTTAAAGTTGCTGATCGTAATGATTTGCACTAATATTATATACTTTTTACGATGATAAAACTAATAATGAATAAGCATGTTATGTTCTCTTTGTCAAGCCTCCAAAATACGCAGCGTATTTTGAGATGCTGAGATGCGTGACGACCCGTGCATTTTCATATTACAAATAAAACTTTACTTTCATAGTACAAATAAAACTTCTGTGCATTTTCATATTACAAATAAAACTTTACTTTCATAGTACAAATAAAACTTCACATGAAAAAAACCTTTATTGTTATGTACAAGTCTTAGAGTGAAAGCAAAAATTATATTGTAATAAGTTCACTCTAATAAGTCAAAAGACTCTTATTACATAAGCTTCATATTACAAATAAAACTTTACTTTCATAGTACAAATAAAACTTCACATGAAAAAAACCTTTATTGTTATGTACAAGTCTTAGAGTGAAAGCAAAAATTATATTGTAATAAGTTCACTCTAATAAGTCAAAAGACTCTTATTACATAAGCATGTGACATCTCTAAGATTACTATCTCTTAACATAAAAGCATTCTCTAACAGATCCTTTACATGTCCCCAAAATTTCGAGCTACAGATAAAGTCATCTAGTTCTCATCTGAAAAAAGATTGAAAATATCAGAGTGAGATTACACTCAGAGAGTAGATAACTTATCATTAGCAGGTCAACGAACTTTAAGAAAAAAATTACTACTCACTTTAAGTAAGCTACTATGGAGAATGATCTAAGAAGCATACATGATTTGTATGATGAAATGATAGGTTGATATACAGATCTTATGCACAAGCTGAATATTAAAAACATTAAATTCTCTAAATATGTGATAAGAGTATAAGTTACTCTAATATATGTTTACATGGGTTAATTTTTTAAGCTAATTTATGTTCACTATCAGGTATTTGAGTTTAAGATACTGGATCATGTTATGTCATAGCAATTTTCATGTTATGTCATAGCAATTTTCATTCTTATCACTAAAAAGAAGCCATAGCTGATTTATCAAAGAAAATGAAAAAATAAAAATAATTCTATTCAGTCATAAGATGCTTCTGAAAACAGAACTTTTAAGTTTTAATCTCAACATTGATATAAATCAGATAATTTCATATCTTAGTCCTCCACCAAAATAACATCAATCGTGATAGTTGAGATGGTTGGATATTTCAATTTACTTACCTATCTCTTCACCTTTTCCCAACAACTTTTTAGAACTCTTTTAATTTTCGTCATGTAAACTGGTTTCACTCAAGTATTGATAGTTGGACTCATTTATGATGCAACTTCCATATCAAGATCTAATGAAACAACTAAGCAAAATCTTTTTTTGGAATCATAAAATCATATACAACGTATAAAGTTCACAACCCCCCCCCCCCACCCCCCCCCCACCCAAAAAAAAAAAAGACGACGTAACCCCCATTATTTTTGAACTTATCCCAACTTTTGATGTTATGGTTCAGGAAAACTCAAGCCTTCAACATTATTTTAAGAAAGTCCAATGCACTTGTGAAAAAGTTTAAGAAAACCCCCATTATGCCATTTGGGCGGCATGTTGAGAAAATTTAAGATGTCACATGCGTTTTGTGCAAGGCAAAAAAGTTTTAGCCGTTAAGCAAAAGTTACAAAATTTTTGAGGTTTTATCTCGACACAGGCCAACTTTATGGGAATTTTGTGAACTTTACCCTTTCATACATAACAAGATATTGCCCATAAAGATCGCAACACCAAGGAGGCCACGAATTCCTTCGAAGTCCATTCCAGTTCTCAATTTGGGTTGCTCAAATAGTGGCAATCCGGATGACTGAACGTCGAGGCGCAAAACATTTTTGCTAATGAGGAGCATCTCCTTGCTCAAGTGTGCTGCATATAATTGCAATTCACAGTTATGTTCATGGCTACAAGATATATATCTTATATGATATGGGTGGTTGCCTAGGTCATTCATCAAAAGAAGTTAGATGCATACGATATTAATCACAAAGTTCTGAAGGGCTTAGCTAACCGGTACTCATCCTACAATACAGTTTTGTACCGATTGAGATTCTACCAAGAAGGTTTGTAGAAAATCTCAGATGCTTTCATATTAATAATTAAAGTCTGTTGTGTTATTGTTTTTCCCGCTGTTCACAATGCTTATGTTGTCGTTTCGATGTTTTTCTTCTCCTCCCTTGCTAAGACTTTTCATAACCTACAACCTAATGTCTAAAATGCATGAAAGAATTCAGTCTCTATAAAGATTCATCACTAATGTTAAATTGTAACGTAATTATTATATAGCTAGACCAGCAAATATTGTGTTTTCAATGTCCTCAATCCCATAAAAAGAGTACCCCGGAAGACCACTAAAGTCAAAACCATATTCAAGTAATATAAGTTGAAAATAACAGGAGCTTTTAGATTGAGGGGAGAAAATTATGTCCAACATGAGATCTTGTGTTCACTTAATAGTTACATGTCATAAAGCCCATTCAAGCAAAAACTCTACTTTATGAAACATAGAAGAAAGAGAAATCAAGAAATTATGCGCACCTTTGAAGTCAATTCTTATGCTATGACAACATTGCTCTCCTTTACTTGTGTTTCAGTGTCACAGTTAGGAAAACGCTGGAGATCTTCGTAGAGTAGAGTTCCAATATCATCTTAAAATCCCCCATATCTCTACAGACTGATGATGAAGTAATCTTCGTAGAGTAGAGTTCCAATATCATCTTAAAATCCCCCATATCTCTACAGACTGATGATGAAGTACATTTTTCTGCAGAATCCAGTAAATCTTTCGAGTAACTATTTTACAGACACCAGGTGATCAAAATCATGATGAGAAAACACCTTTCATATACATAAGTCATACTTGAGTAAAGCTCTCGATTAGCTAAACTCTGTTTTGGGAAACTTATCAAGTTGCTTCATCAAACATTTAATCTTTTCCACAACCCCGTCCATGTTTCTTTGTTCTGCTTCACACATAAGCAAACCAAATGTTCGATCCTTTGGCAAGATTTCTCGACTAATCATGTCATCAAATAATTGGCAAGCCCACTCAATCTCGCCGACATTACATAATCCATGAATCAAAAGTGTGTAAGTGTCAAGATCTAAACTTAGATGGTGTTTGTTCACAATTTCACCCAACAACATCCTAAGTTGATCATCTAGATTTCCTGTTTTGAAGCATAATTTGAGTAGGGGAATGTACGTATGAAGAACACTAAGTTGATCATCTAGATTTCCTGTTTTGAAGCATAATTTGAGTAGGGGAATGTACGTATGAAGAACAGGCTTACAAGAAAAATCCTCCATCTCCTTTAATACACCCAATGCATCGTCTTGCCGATCATGACTGCAAAATACTGAGATCATTGTATTGTATGTTGACAAATTACGACTAACTCCATTCATTTGCATCTCTACACCAAAGATATGAGAGGCCTCACCAACTTGACCGGCTAAACCAAGAATGTTGATCAAAGAGTTGTAGAAATGTGTATCGGGTTTACATCCAGACATCCGCATCTTCTCGACTATGCTAATGGCTTCTTCAAATTTGCGAGACTTAGCAAGTGAATGCATAATAATTGTGTATGTGACAACATTAGGGGAGCAACCATTAGCAACCATTTCATCAAGGAGGTCATAAACCCTTGAAAACTTAAATTTTTTGCAATATGCTTTGATAATAGTCGAGTATGTGATCACTGAAGGGTTGAAACCAAAGTCTTTCATCTCTTGAATAGTCCACATTGCCTCATCAATCCTTCGAGCATTGCACCAACCATGGACAAAAATGTTAAAAGTATTAGCATTAGGGGAGATCTGACCCTTCAGGTTTAAATATATTTCACGAGCAACATCTGCTTTCTTCTCTTTGCAAAGGGTGTCAAGTAAAAGATTCATTGATTCGGTATTCTGATCCAAGCCCCATGATTTCAAGTCATTGAATACTTCAATAGCATCTTTCCATCTACCGGCACCGGCAAGTCTTCTCATGATTTTGGCAACTGTTTCCATTGTGACAAGCCCTCCTTTTCCCATCCATTTTACAATTTCCCACATCCTATCTATTTGCTTCATTTTCCCTAATATGTCCACCATTTTGTCACATGAATATGTAGTTGGCTTATGATCTGATTGCAAATTAGCCCATCGAAAAAAACCTAAAGCAGATTTCCAATCCTCTCCAAACTTATAGAGTAAAGCATCAACAAGTTGAGAGGAAAGATGTATTTTAGAGCAAGATTCATCGCTTTGGAGTCTCCGTACAATATCCTCTACTGTTCCATTATGAATGTTCAAGATGGCTCGCCTAATTTTGCCAGCATTCTCCTCTACTTCCTGTTCTATGAAAAATCCATTTTTCCAGTATTTATTTTGTTGTTCTTCGCCGTACAAATTGGATTGAACAAGGCGGTTTAGGTGATGACATTGAAAGCGTGTTATAGTAAGCCAGACTGGTTCTAGAAACAAAGGGAGGACAAAATGAAAAGGCAAGAAAAGGATGAATCATATAACTTCCAGATCTCCTTTTGGTAGTAGCAAGATGTATTCCACTTGAAAAAGCACCTAGTGATTCCTATAACCCAAATAGCTAGAATTAGTTTCTCTCGTAAGATGCACAACAAAACTTCATACTACTATGAAAAATTTACAAGGTAACAATAAAATTAAAGAAGATACTCTAGTCATTGATTCTCATTCAGAGCAGTCGTCAGTAATAAATATCATCGCCCTCTCATTCCAATATTGCTTAAAGGATAAAGTACACATATTTATTCATGAGTAGAGAACTAGGTTTTAATATTGGATATCGGGGACATACCAGACGGCTAAAATCCTTATTGGGTTGCGATTTGCGAATATTGGTAAAATATCAGGGATATGTAGTAAATTTTGCATTGCAATATCGGATGATGTCCATATATAATATAATATCTTAAAATGTAATTTGAACACACTTAATGAAATATAACCATGAAAAAAATGTAAATTTAGGATCAGTAACCAATTGTAGAAACTTATTTAGGGAAAAGAGCGTACTAGAGTTTTGCTAGAAAACTTCACATGGCTAGAATTTTTGCTGCAATTACATTAAGAAAATTCGCAAGAATATATAGTTTAGCAACAAGCTATAGAAAGATATATGGACAAATAGAATTAATTAACCCTCTGACTAGATTTCATTAAGTTTATTAAGTAACCCTCTGGCTAGATTTCATTCAAAATTACCACAATAGCATAGTTAAACTCATGGAATTAATATATTTAAAGGTGTTATTAAGATATATGAATATTTGCCAGCCGAATATGGAGGTAAGAGAGAATTTACTGTCTAACATGATTGATGAAACTCTAGATGTAAAGGGTGTTATTTTGAATCAAGCTGACAGATTTACAAATATGAAGATTTGAGGTCTAACATCTAAAATATTAACACAACAGAAAATAAAGGGGAACCATAGAAAAGGAAAGGGAAATTACCATGGGGTGGCCTTGTGCTGTCTTGAGAAGTGAAAGAGGTAGCTGCAAAATAGATTATAACAATAAAAATCAACATAATAGGACCAAAATTAGGTACAAATCCTAATGGGGAAAAAGATGAAAGAACACAAATTAGGGTTTAGAATCGAAACCATTGTTCTCCAACGACGCCTGGACAAGGATGACGACTGGATGAGGATGACGACTGGACGAGGATCTGACGCCTGGACGAGGATCTGACGGCAAAGATGACGAACGACGCCTGGACGAGGATGACGACTGGATGAGGATCTGACGCCTGGACGAGGATCTGACGGTGAAGATGACGAACGACGCCTGGACGAGGATGACGACGCGAACGGAGAACGGCGAACGGCGAACGGAGAACGGCGAACGGCGAACGGAGAACGGAGAACGGCGAAGATGACGAATGGGGAAGACCACGAAGATGAGGATATGACGAATTTGACGAGGATCTGACGAGGGAGCCTGGAAAGTTTAGTGGGGGCTGGAGGCGGAATGAAATGGGAGCTGGAGAGGCGCTAGGGTTACCAATTTGCGGGTTTGGGTTAGCGGTTACGGGTTGTAATTGTAACTTTGGGATCCGAACCATTATTATATTTGTGGATATCCATATCCGCAACCTTTATATCTGTTTCCGAATCCGTATCCGAAAAAAATCCGAAATCAGATCCGTATCCGTTACCGTATCCGCCTGCTTTCAAAATTTACTTACCATATCCGCATCCGTTCGGATACGGATGCGGATCGGTTCGGATATATCCGAACCGTTTGGCACCCATAGTTGTGAATATTGGTAAAATATCAGGGATATGTAGTAAATTTTGCATTGCAATATCGGATGATGTCCATATATAATACAATATCTTAAAATGTAATTTGAACACACTTGATGAAATATAACCATGAAAAAAATGTAAATTTAGGATCAGTGCATGTTTGTTTGGCTAAAAAAAAGAAGGAAATCAAAGAATAAAAAACTTATTTCTTAAAAAAAATATTTTATGGTTGTTTGGTTGGCTTAAAAAAAGAAGGAAATCAAATAATAGGAGATGGGATGAGATGAGTTGTCACCATATTATTAGATGATTGGGTGAATTTTTAAGAAAATTTAATTTGAGGTTGTTTGGTTGGTTAAAAAAATAAGGAAATGAATTATAAGAAATCTATTTCCTATAATAGGTTCTTCTCTTGTGTTTGGTTCATTCTTAAAAATAAGAGATGAGATGAGATGAGATGAGTTGTCATTATATTATTGGATGATGTGACCAACACTTAAGGAAATCAATTTCCTTAATTTTTTTGAGGAAATGGGAGGAAATGAAATGTTAATGAGATGAGATGAGTTGTCACCATATTATTGGATGATGTAGGTGATTTTTAAAGATGAGATGAGATGAGTTGGATGATGTGATCCATTTCTTTTGTTTGGCTTATTTCTAGAAGATGATAAGAGATGAGTTGATGGATGGAAATAATATTTTATTGGATAAAATGGATGAGTTGTTAGATAAAAATAATATTTTATTGGATGTTGTGGTGAGTTTTAAGAGATAGAAATGGAGGAAATTGATGTTTTTGAGATTTCCTTGACCCAATTTTCTATTCTTGGTTTTGAGGAAACCAACCAAACAGTCCCTAACCAATTGTAGAAACTTATTTAGGGAAAAGAGCGTACTAGAGTTTTGCTAGAAAACTTCATATGGCTGGAATTTTTGCTGCAATTACATTAAGAAAATTTGCAAGAATATATAGTTTAGCAACAAGCTATAGAAAGATATATGGGCTAACATATCAGTTAATACATCAGCCAACTCAAGGGTACATTGCCAAAAATTTTCCAAATAGCGGTAAAGGATATTGAGACCATATTATTTTGTTGCAAGAACTACAAGAGGATATCGGCTGATATATCGGGCCATATCAGGGATATTTTAAACAATGGTTTGCGAAGCAATCATACACATGTGAAATTTGGTAGAAGCTCAAAGAGCATGTAAATCTGAAATATTCATTTCCTCCTCCAGATCAAGTACAAGAACCCAAAAGAGGAGAGACCTAATGAAACTAAACAACTTGTTACTCAACCAAATGAATTGTTATAAACTATACTTTCATGTGAATGATAGATGCAATGCTTTTTTTTAGCAATTTAGATCATTTGGATAAGTTTTTCTTTTTTATGAGCATACCAATGAAATAGACGGGGAAGGCAACAAGAGCCCCAGCCATTTCAGCCAAGAGCTCTGCTAATTGGGTTATGCTCAGGTGTCCCATCTCCTCTTTTATTCATCAAGTTGGGGTTTTGTGATGAAATTTCAATTCGAATCCACTCTAAACGCCGGATTCATTAACATTCTCGATCATAGCACAACCTTAATTTACATATACTTTGCCCTCAACTAGGGAATTTGAATCAAAATAAACTTGATAGGCATCCATAAATTCACGCCATTTGACAAAATATTCAACCAAAATGTCTTCTTTCAACTATCAAAATATGAACCGAAGCTATTATAATGTTTCACATAGCACACAAAAGATCACAATCAATAGGGAAATTAACATAAAATGATGAAATAAATAAAAACTTGATGTGAGAATCAAAGGCAACAACTAGAAAATTATTACAAAAAGCAATCTCCGTCTTGGATTGTACCTTAAAAGGACTCCTCATTGGGTTGGGGAGATCTTTAGGGTTTCAGCCGAAAGAATCTTTGTGGGTAGAACTTAGAAGAGAAACGAGAGCGATACTGGGCTTCAGTTAATGGGCTGAACACGAGCAGATCAATAACCCTCGATTGAGCCCTAAACTTATTACACGACCAAGACTTTGGTTGGAGTAGGGATGACAAAATGGACACAAAACCAATTGTCCACCTATACCCACCCGCAAAATGAACCATTCAAACCCACTCATTTAGTTAAATGGGCCATAAATAGGTGTGTATAGTTTCTATTAAAGATAAATGAGTCATTAATGGGCGGGTTATTACCCACCCATTTACCCATTTAGATGGATATTGTTTTAAAAACACCCTCAACGCTTCAACAATTATAAAACTTATTTTTAAAAGTTAAAAATTATAGAAAACACTTAAAATGACTAACAGCCCCTTAAAAATTTGAGATTTGCAAAAAAACCCTCAAAGTTTAAAATATTACAAAAACACCCTCCAGAGTTAAAAATTATAAAAAAACTATTAAAATTTTCTAACCTCACAGATGACGCATGAAATTCAAAAATTATCAACAACCCCCTATAAATTTTATAATTTGCAAAAAATATCCTTAAAAGTTGTAGAAAATAAAAAAAACACCCTCAAGACTTCAAAATTACCAAACAATCTTAGAGTTTTCTAAACTTGCAAAGGACACATGAAATCTAAAAATTTTCAATAGTCCCCTCTAAATTTAAAATTTACAATTAACACCCTTAAAGTTTTAAATTTTTAGAAAAACACCCTCCATAGTTTAGAATTACAAAACCATCCTGAAATTTCAAAACCTACAAATGACACATGAAATCCAGAAATTACTAGCAGCCCCCTGTAAATTTATAATTTACAAAAAACACCCTCAAAGTTAAAAAATTACAAAAAGCACCCTTAAGAGTTCAAAACTACAAAACAATCTTAGAATTTTCTAAACTTGCAAATGACACATGAAATCTAAAAAATTTTGGCAGTCCCCTATAAATATCGAATTTACAAATAACACCCTCAAGTGTTTTGTTTAATAATCCGATAAAATTCAGATTATTTATTTAATCGCAAACCGGTACCTGGTCGGCTGGTCCCATTTGCTTTTTTTAAGATTAATGAGCCGACCATGATGTCAACTTGATTAACTGCTAACTGACGAATCACGCGTTCAACTGTTCAAAGTATCTGCACAGAGCACCAAAATTTCATACCAAACGTTACGAAGTTATAAGAGTTGGAAAAAAATTTATTTATTTGACCATAAATTACAACTGAAAAAAGCACTGAGAAATTCTGACGACTATACAAATTGGCTGGACTTTATGATAAATTTGAATGCTACTTGCAGTAGTCAATTATTCCTATAAAACTACTTTTAAACACTAGATCTAGAAATTACAGTAAGGGCTTCAGGAAAACCCCCTGAAAAAATTCCAAAAAAACCCCTAAAATTACAAAAACCCCCTGAAAGTTTACAGAAAACCCCCTAATAGTTTGCAAAAATCTCCAAAAAGTTTAAAAAAAAAACTCCTAAAAGCTTGTAGAAAACCCCCTGAAAGTTTGCATAAAACCCCCTAAAAATTTACAAAAAACCCCTAAAAATTTACAGAAAACGCCCTGAAAGTTTGCATAACCCCCTTAAAAGTTTGCATAAAACCCCCTAAAAGTTTGCAGAAAATTCTCTAAAAGTTTGCATAAAACTCCCTGAAAGTTTACAGAAAACCCCCTGAAAGTTTGCAAGTAGATCCCTAAAACTTACATATAAGCATCATAATCATAACTAAATAGGTTATTGGGTCACCCATGAACCACCCATTTAGTAAATGGGTGGTTGAGAAGTGATCCATTTAGCAAATGCTAAATGAGTCATAAATGGTCAAGTGGTCATAAATGTGCCTACCCATTTATGACCCAACCAAGACCCAACCAAAACCACCCATTTGACATCCCTAGGTTCGAGGGAGGGGTATTCAACTTTTAACCTGTAAAACCCCGAAATTTTATAATGAAAATGTGTGAATAAGTAGTAATAAATTTTTCTTTTGTGATAAATAATCATATATATATATATATATATATATATATAGCATTCTTTGGGCTGCGCGGTCGACCGCGGCGGTCGACCGCACAGCGGTCAGAGAGTTTTCTCAGGTTTGAGTTTTTACGGATTTTGTTTTGGTCTTATCAGGTTTCGGGTCGGGTTAGGGGATTAGTATACATACTAATCCAACCCAGGAGAACCTCTCTTGATCTGAGACCTAAAACCCTAGCCCCCATCTCTCTCCTCTCTAAACCCTAGCTGGATTTGGCGATTTTGGGAAGCTCGGAGGATTTTCAGGGGGTTTTCGCAGGTTAGATCGAATGAGGATCATCTTCAGGGCATTCATCAGCATCTAAGGCGAGTATCATCTCGCCCAATCCCTCACCCCTATTTTCTATGGTTTTCTTTTGATTTTTATGAGTTTTTGATGAGCCCAAATGGTATTTTCGTATAAAAATTGAGTTCTCTATAATATGGATTACAAGAACCAATGATTTTAGTTTATAAAAATTCACCAATGTTCTGTTTAATAAAGATCTAGATCTGAGATTTGCCTAAACAAGAGTTAAATCATTTTTTAATGTTTTTAAAACATTTTTGATTGTTTCTCATGTATTTGGAATATTGGAAATGTAGATTTCAGGCTTGGGATTAGCTGTTTATCTTCTGTAGGATTTTTGAAACATTAGAACTCCTGTTATCGTAGAGAAATGTCAAATTTTTGTTTCAGGTTTTGAGCTG